GAGTAAGGTCTGTCGAGTGGGCCTTACGCAAAGGCGTGTTTGCACATTGACTAATTTAGCAAAGTTGGCGAAGACGTAACGGGCAGGTGATGTCGAGCCGTCCTCCCCAGGAAAGAGCTAAAGGCCTTTGCTTCAGGGAATAGGAAACTATGAGCATGACGCGTGAATTGCTTTCGACATCATTTACGTCGGCATGCTATTACTCTCCACGTAGCCATTCTAGTGTCACTGCGTCGAACTGCGTACTTGAACGGCAGTGACTTGGGAATATACATGCCGCTGCCAGAGAAAGTAGATATGTGGCGGCGGAGCCGCCGGAATTTTGTTGTGGACGTCATCGTTCGACGGTGGCATATTTGTGGTCATTTGGATCGCAGTTTAAACTCACTCACTACCACCATTTTCACTATATGTGTTTTACGGTCATCTCCGTTCGATCTCTATCATTTCTGTAGCTTCTCGAGGGGAGGGGCCAATCCTCGTTTCGGGACTCAACTGAGGCCTCCTGGGGGGCACTTTATGGTTTCCAGAGCTTGTCTGGTCATCGCGGCTTTACATGGTGGATGTGAGGATTCTATCGGCTGCCTTGGGGGGAGGGGGGGAGGACGTGAATGGACACATCTGTGATACCGGTTTCGTCTTGGGCTGTAAAACAAGCACGGGGTTCTCTGCCTAACCCATCAGCTGCCTTAGGGTGTCGCGATTTTTCTGCCGTGTAGATATATTTTGGTTGACAGTGGGAGGTGAACTTTTGGGTTTGCGCAAACGAGAACATGGTCTGAGTCGTAGCGTTACCTGCTTTGTGTCACGCGTTTACAATGAGGCGGCTAGGATGTGGTCATCCTGACTGATTATAACTGTGGCGTATAAGAAGTGAGTGTACTCAGAGCGCCACAGTAACCATGACCCAATTTCGTTTTGGAGAATGGAAAATAAACCAGTAGAGCTCGTGCATTCTGTACGGAAACGCAGTGAGGATCGAAGCCCCGATGCGTGGCCGGCCTCGGGCCTGTCTGCTAGGGTGGTATGAGAGTAAATTTACGCGCATGTGAGAGTCAGTTCCCCTGGAAGGCCGCGACATACTGGACATACGATTGTCTGTCCCAGTGGTCCTATCGGTGGGTCTCTTTAAAGTTTTTGTCTCACTGAGACAGACGATTGTCACCTCTGAATGATCTTCAGTCGAAAAGATGTGCTTCGGATTGTGGTATAACCTTCAAGGCGCTTCTGGTAGTGGGCCATGGCAGGCAACGCTAAAAGGCCGAACCTCCGATAGGACGATTTGGACAACTAGTAGTGTTGGGTGTTCGAATTTGTTACAACTTCCGTTGAGTCTGTATACTTTGAGCACATGTACTAGAAGCAAGGGTCAGAACACAGGATAACAGACTCTCTTAGATTAGCTACAGTACCATTGTGCTGCAAAATTTAGTGGGGATTCGTAGTCATATAAATGCGGCCGACATTACTGACTATCCATTTCAGTGAACACAAGGTAAGCTTTCTGCAATCAACGAGGTCCGGAACTGAACACAGCTTCTGAATACCTTAGGTGATGATTTGCTTCTTATGCTTGCCCACCTCTCTCGGCCGACGGCTTGCTGGCGTGTGACACTCAGTACCACCAGTCACAGCACTGCCCCCCAGGCAGAAGACAGGAAAGGTGTGGAGATGGTCATTATTTAGCCAGCGGCTGGCCGCGAGCGTGGGTCATTGGCGCGCGAAGACTGGTCGGCGACCCTGCACGAGAAGACGCTACCACAAACTAGGTGCCAGTTTTCACCGTAATAGCACAGTAGTGACTGCAATCGTCAGACGCAGTTAGTTAGCCAACAGGCAAGGCCAGCCTTCCCACTACTCCTGGTCATCACGCTTCCGCCTGCAATGTAGTGAAAATCCAGACCTGAGATAAATGACGGTTTCGGCGGAAAATAAAGGCAAACGTTCTGGCTGATGGTATCGTGAGGGCAGTGGTGGTTATCAACCGACTTAACTGGGAGATTAACATGTTGACGCGTGCTGGGGGTATGACAGAATTTAATCAAATTAAATGCGCTTAGACAAATAAGAAGAAACGTCCCAAGCAAAAGGTGAGGTGGATGGAAACAACCAAATAAGTGTACAAAGATTTGGCCGGATAGAGGCCAAACATATTAAGAAGAGGAGAATATGGCATAATAAACACGCCACCACGTAAGGTAAATCACAGCATAAATTGTAAAATTATTTGGCGTTCACTCATCAGATCTCATCACCCAGTGGATCGGGGAAGCCCTCGGTTTCCTCGATGAGGGCGTGCTCAAGAATCACTTTGCCCTCTTTGTAGCGCTGGCTATCTTCCATCGCGTGCTCGTACATCCACCCCAGCTTTGCACTGCACCGTGAGCAGAGTACATCACGAACTAGATGCCGACCAGTTATCATCACTCTGTCCTGAGAACAAAACAAAAAAGGATTACGGCTGCTTGCAGGAAAAAGTCAAAAGCGGTGACCGAGATGTATCCTGCTACCACGCTGCTGACCGAGGTATTAACGTGCTGAAAGCGCGGAATACTAGGTTTGAGAAAGGGACAATTAGGCTGGAAACGACACACACCGGAGAGAACGGCCAGGCAAATTGGCACTCTCTGTGACACGTATGTTGTCACTTGCCTGAGAGAATGATCTCATGCAGGATGAAAATTACACCGCAGGCTAAGCGCCTGGCGGCAGATGATGCAGATTCTACTGAGTGGAATGCTCAAGTTACCGCATGTTCCAGCTGAAGGGCGTCTGTAGTGGACACTGTTAGGCTATACACTGCTTAGTCCCCAGGTCAGAAGGCAAAAAGGTGGTTGAGGACACATATCCGCCAGCTGAGACCAGTTGGGGCTGAGGTGTTTTCAACGAAAGTTAAAAACACGGTATCAGGACGGTGTCAGCTCATCAGGAATTAACTTTTAGACTATTTTCCATAGCGCGCTTTTAGCGGATTACAGGCTGTTCAAGCATGTCGCGGCTGAGAAGCTACGCAGGCTATCTTGATTGCATTTACCGCCAGCTTCATGTTCATCCTGGGAAGATAGAAACCCCGGTAAGACTACAACTGCCTGTGGGCTAGCAGGCGAGTCTGAAGCTGGCGGATAGTTGAACGACCTTCGGGAAAGGACCTCGGGTTTGGCAATATGTAGTTGAGGGCTATGCAGCTGTAGTACCTCGGGCGTGCCTAGACACCGATAAGGTCACAAGAAAAAGCGGCATCACGACGTAGTGCATAGTTCGACCATCGATTTCGATGATGTCCACCGTGTGCCCCACAGCAGCAGCGGTGGGAGCGGTTCCAGCCATCGGCGCCCAGGCCGAAAATGGAGCCCTAAACTGGTATACTGGAGGGAGTGATGGGGGAGTTAATATTCGAATACATGAAATTGTCTCCTGTCTGGCTGCTCCACGCAGAAACTCTTTAGTTAATTATGGCCTAACGTGATTTTGAATACCAAAGGAGTTTGATTCACGCGCTTTCGTCGGACTTGGTGAAAGTCCACGGCATCGACAGGAGGGGCTTCTCGCCCAACAATAACAGCAACACGGGGTTGGCCTAAACCAATCTGTCCTGATTGAGTAACGGAGATGGGTATTTTTACGTTGTCTTGGAGCTGAGGGTCTCTAGCTCACGCAGACGATCGCATTACGACTCATAATCAATAATAGAGGTGCTACCGCCACAGAGATACCGAGGTAGCAATTGGGGGATTATCTGTCGTCAAGTCAGCGATATCGCAGCCCCAGGCCCAAGTCAGTTTATCATGGAGCAGCCTCCTCACCCCCGCACTACAGTCAGTCAAGAATCACCATGAGCATGCTAATTTCTAGAGGCTTATGCCCTACCGTCCTGCCGTTGTGCTGGCCGACTACTTTCGCAGGTTCTAGTAGATTCACAATGCTTGAATTACTGACTCACGACTCGAGAAATACTGTGGAGGTGACGCTGGCTATCAATAGTGTTATTAACCCCAATTAATTCGGCAGCAGCATGGTCTTTGTTTGCACGATTATCTCTAATCACAGATAGCCTTCAGTTACACAGGTATTGTTAACATCCCACTTGCGCAATTTTTTAATGTAGGCGCAGTATCCGATTTGAACAGTAAAAGAAGACCCACTAATTTTTTTAGAAAAGCGTCGAATGCACAGACCGCCCTGGTCCAGTCGTTTGTAAGACGCCAGAACAAAAAATGCTTTTCCGCAGGCAGGGGACCTCTGCAGACAGGAGGCCCAAATTGCACATGCGGCGTATTTCCCGAAAGCAATAACGTAACTGCGCCGCAGGCGAGGCTGCTTGCTCGATAGGCATCTTCGGATATCGCGTGCTTTGACAGCCACGCCCGCTTCATCATTCTCACCCTTTGAAGCGCCATAGAAGTGGCAGAAAACCTACGAGGCAAAACGGCGGACACATTAGCTGCATCGTCATCCCTCGTCAAGCACTTGGACACTTGAAGAGGCCAACAACAATTGGCTTCTTAAATCAAAAAGTGACCTTATATTCAGTAGGCATAATAGTTTTCGACGTCGCCTCCTTCGAGAATGGTCACGAAAATGTAGACGCTTTCAAATATCCTCAAGTTAGCTCTGAAGGACGAACGGGACTCTGCAGACGATTACCATAGCCGATAATGACCACAACACGGTGCCCCTTAAAAGTACCCGGTCTCGTCTTTCATGTCTACTTTGTCAAACGATAATGTGGTCAAAACTAACCCACAGAGGACCAGACACAGATAACGAGTGCCATGGCTTGGGAAACTTACAGCTGATGCGCAAATTCTCCGGGAACGGCGCAGTGCGTTTTGGCGATTTGCAAAGACTACAACAATTTCTCGTGCCTACGAATTATGACAAAAATGTCCAACAATAAGGCGATTTTGTGAGATTCGATCGTACGGACGCTGTTTAATGTCGGCGGCATTATAGAAAAGACGTACTTTATTTTCGGATTAGGCAGCTGTCGCCGACGTTAATTAGCAGCAAGAGATCATAGGTACAAGGAAAACCGGTGTAACGCCCAATAATTTATGTCTGGGGTCGAAATAGAATCGCTTTGACATTTAAGGACAGAAACAACGGGACTAGGGTAGAACAGGTGCTTGAACACACATGAGAATGTGAGTTACTGTGAGTTGAAGGCACGCGAAAGCTTGGAGTCTTCGATCAACAGTGTTTAAGAAAGATCGCATACGAAAACAGCTATACTACCCAAAGAGGCCATTGTTAGTCCAAGGAAGTACAACACAGCCATTAAAACAATTGTGCCTGCATACCCTCTACTGGCCCGGTCGTGTCTCTCGAATGTCGTAATGAGAATGTGACAAGTTGATTGCTGGTCCCCGAGGCAGTTGGCGGTCGTTGCGATGTACAGGTCATTAACTGAATGCTACGCATAAGAAGTCTTCCATCGTCGCTTAGCGGGCTGAGATCCGTGGTGTTGTTTGTTCGAGACCATGTCTAACAGTCATCTGTCGAAGTTACTCCAGAAGAGATCTCATAAATCGCCTATAATAAGTGTTCCCCTAGCACAAAGGTAAGGACGCAGGTCAAGAGAGTATCAAATTCATCACGAAAAGCCGCAGGACCTAATGGATGAGACAATTATACCAGAGAACAGGTGTTTCGGCAAAGGCCGTCAGAGCTAGATCATCCATAAACACAGATACAGAGGAAATATTGACAGAATTGAACATTCAGGAAGAATGCAAATCAACATTACTGTCGACGGTGAAGTCAGTAATTCGCCATCTTCAATGCAAAACGAGTACACGCTTGGATAATACCCCAAGAACGAATGTGAGTTTTGTAAAAAAACATTTTCGGCGAACGCATGTACCAATAAGTTCGTCCGAGCTACAGCGAACCAGAAGTCATGGATGGTCTGTCATCGGAGCAGATACTTTTCCAGAGAGCCTCATGAATTAAGCAGGAAGAAAAGTCAGTCAAAATAGCAGCAATTTGTTGGGCTGTACAACAGCCATATCAACGAAATCGGCGAGTTACCTCTAACTGAGTGAAGTCGAGACAGCGACGTCAGAATTACCAAAACCTGTACTGTGGAATAAAATACGTGTTCTTAAATAGGCATGTAGTACTACTATGTTGGAAATGTAGCTAAACCCCAGTCTGGTTTTCCAGTGAGGGCTTCCAACAACCTCGGGTCATCTTGACCAAAAAGCCACTATTTATGTAGAACAAACTTTCCACCTACAAACTAAGGAAAATGGGAAAATCAGACGATCGAAAAAGCACGCAGCGCCGAAACCAGCTACTGTCCTAATGCCAGGCCGCGACAGGAGATCTCGTTCTTATTATATCTTTGCGATTTTACACGACTCACGTAGAACAAATTAGTGCAGCCACCTCAGAAGCAACAATAACGCAAGACTGACGTACTTCGAACCGGTGCCATTAATGACGAATCTCTGAACACATGCTCACTGCGACTCAAGCTTGCGGCCCAGATTAGCCTTGTTGGACACCTACGTACCCACTAGTACACTCACACCACAAGCTATTACGATCTCGGAGTATACCTCACACGTCTGTCCTCACTCGGTTAGTCACGGTTGGACACCGGGATGCCAAAAGAACACATGGTTACCGACACAACCAGATGACAAAACCCCCTTTAACAACGAGCATGCTGCACTAGATCGCCTACTCACGCAGTCCGTGACTCCAAAGTGAGATGCAATGAGTGTAAAGTATGACGTGGCAACTGAGGAATATAGGTCCAGGCATGCTGGTTCCTTCTACCAATCACATTGTTGAACCGTCTGTCACAAATTCAATGCCGGACGTGTCACGCGCAGATAGAGTTTCCCGCCAAACAACATCGACGTACTGGTTAGACACATGAGAATTAGCCATGACACGACTGGAGAAGCTTCAAAGCCTGGTCTTTTTAGAGTTAAAGATACGAGTTGTCTAGTTCTGCTAGGTATTGGGCCCACGAACATTTCAAGCCCTCTTGACTTTGTCTCGTCATTGAAACATGATGGACGTGGAAGAAAAGGAATTAATGAGCAAGTCTTCACTGAGATTACGCTTATACTAATGTGGACCTCAAAGCTTGTGACGGTCAAGATTATTATTAAGCTTTTTAATTTTCTCAAAAATTGACGCGTCGGCGTGGAGCAAATGTTTCAGGACAAGACTTTTTAGACTCGGTCCGAAAGTTGATACGAATACTTAATCTGAAATCCATCAACCTCATGTGCCAGTGTGGTGAACTTTATGATTATTCATATTATGGGGCGTGGGGAAGTTGATACAACAGGGCCTTCACAAAAGTTCCACGACGATAACGGAAAGGAGGCGTTTCGCTTTATCTGCACAAGCCCATTATAACACATACATATCCCAGGAGCGCAAACGCACCGGGAAGTACACAACAGCAAAAGTGTCTTAAAATGTCGATTCAACGAAAATTGAGGCAAACTGTCGATCAAGCTGATTATAACGGGGTAGTTGTGGACGAGATCAGAAATCGGTATCTAGAGAGAGAACGTTGAACCTCGTATTTAGATAATTATAGGAGCATCGCACGTACTGATTGCACTGCTATAGGCAAACTGAAGAATGCAGTTGCCGACTGCCGTCCGGTATGAGAAGTGTAGGTAGCCAGCAAATAAAACATGTAAGCACATACTTATGAGATGCGCGCTGCCAATGCACCTTGAGATAAACCAGGTCTTAAAAACTAAAAAGTACAAATTTCGCGGGCCCTGATGAGGTTAAATAGCCAGGAGCCGTCTTGGCTTGCTAACGAGAACAAGACTGAGTGGACAGGAAGTCAGTTGCTGAGGCTTTAAACTACGGCGTCAATACCGACAAAACAAGTTACCGAATACGAAGTAAGCCCCCGAGTACTGAACAGTGGGGACTCCATTTCCCTTCGCGTTTATTAAAGAATCCGAAAGGAGGTAGGGCAGTGAACAAGTGGTCGTTGCGCTGCTGCGACTTTCTATGGCCGTAAATTCTTACCGTACTATAAACGCTGGAATTAGGGCAACGATGCTGCGTCCAAGATCAAGAGATCCCGAACAATACCACAATGCAACACGCGTCCGCAACAGGTGCAGCTGTGAAAGTTCCTAGCGAAACGAGGTCCGTGGGCGGTCTACGAACAAAGCCTGTCCTAACTTGGTATAGCGACACTGTTTTATCATCCTCTAAAACTTCAAGACTCGAATATCGCGATTGGTTAGGCAACCAATTTGATTTTGCTAAGAAACAGAAAAACCCCTCATATGGATTCACAGATAAGGAAGAGGAGAGTTGACCAGAAAGATGCTATGCGACGAGTGTTGGTATGGCCTTATTTCGGACAGACGACACTTATCTGTTTCAGATTACGGAAAATCGCTACCATGAAATGCCGGTGTTCAACAGATTGGACAGGCTTGAAGCAGGGACCTTCGTCGGTCTTACATGCCCATCCTTCACTGTCGATAACGGTAACGTCCTACTGGTGGCCAGGGTAGAGAGTTTTATATGATAAAATCGAGAACCCTATCATAAGTAGAGCGGATCGTCTGAGAAAAAAAATCTGACACCACACATATCCATGCACGTGCAGAAGATGCGGTAGTCTGTTTAGAAGCCGATAGATAGAGCACCTGGAAGATGCAGATGTCCAAGAGTGAAACGCCAAGTTGATGAGGATTTCTCAACGCCTACCCCTGGATCACAGAGCATGAACCCAAATAGCATATTTATTGAAGAGTTTGTTTGAAGACCCACACCATGGTGTACTGCAGTACTGCATGCAGTACAAGTCGGGGTAACAAACTCTTACTAGTCATGAGTCCGGCACCTGGATGACTGTGCTAAATCCTTTCCGCTGACGCAGGGCTCTTGTGATACATAACATGAGAGCACGGCTGCACGGCGGACAAATGGAACGAGTCCTTCTCGACCAAGCATTATATATATAGTTTTGTTCTCGATAAATCACTGTATCTTATCCTTTCCTGACTTCGGCTTCACCTCCACTAAATATTCCAGATCTTTAGTCATCTCCCCCACTCTATACATAGAGTGGGGGAGATGACTAAAGATCTGGAATATTTAGTGGAGGTGAAGCCGAAGTCAGGAAAGGATAAGATACAGTGATTTATCGAGAACAAAACTAGAGTAGGTAATATATATTTTATACAGAATGTTAAAGGAGGCTATTACCTGGATTTCGCTAAACATAATATTCACCACATGATTAAACAGAAAGGCACGGCCAGTAGAACCCGTAAACCTCGTGCTTAGAATCTCGTCCCTGTTAGTGAGCGGGGCTCCGCAGCGACACTGAATGATTCGGCGACCGCCTAAATGCTCAAAGAAAATTCTACCCATTGTCGTCTTTCACACTGAATTAAAGTACCTACAAATATTCTGCTCGATTTCAAGCACAATTTGGTGAAGTTGATGAAGGCCGTTGTTGCTATTTGGTAGCCCACCTATTTTCATGCTTTCCCTATAAAGCAATTTCAAAAACTGAAAGACAAACGTAGAAGGTGTTTAAAAATGACAGAAGAAGGCGTATGGTAAGACTAGTGACAGGTTGGCGGCCGCGAAAGAATGTTATGAGACCAAGGAATAATAGAACAAAAATCAAAAGGAAAATTGACTAGAAGGGAGCAAAATGATAAGTGAGCAAGAGAATCCATATTCCAATATTCACCAAGGAATAAAAAACGGCGTTGAATTTTGTAATGGTTTACGCCCAATTGTTTGATTTCAAAAAGTGATGTGATAGTTTTGAGAGTATGAGGCGTTTGACCAAAATGATTGAGTTAGGTGATTTTTGTGGAATCTTTAATTTTGTAAATATATACGCTACGCGTAGCAAAACGACCTGAAAAGAATATAAGCAGGGCGCTAATCAAAAGCGCACATTTTAAGGGCAATTTATTCTGCGTTAAATTCGAGCATGGCGGTAAAATCTAAGTTCCATGTTTACTCCGAAATCACAGTTACCACGGCTTATATTTTATCAAAAATGCCGCTGAAAGTAATTTATCTCAATCCGTTGTAAAATTTGAAGCTGGGGTTGCAATTTATACATATCCATTTGTTGAGGGTTTTTATGGAACGATCTACATTTAGTATCCTACTTTTAAATAAGTATGGCGGCTCTTTATACGAAGTTAATCCACTGTAAGCTGTAATGGAACACCGCCCCTGAGATAACTATCAGCCCCAACGTTTAAGTTCAGCCATTCAGTTCGAATTTTCATTTTGTAACACCTGGCGGAAGATTTTTTATTGGGGTCTTGGATTTCAAGCAAGTTCGTGCACTAAAGGTCACATGGAGAATGAGTCACTGCAGTCGATTCCCGGTCTTAGGTTAAAACTTATTTTCGTTTTCTTTTAAATAAAATAGAAAATGAAATATTGGTCTGTGTAGCACCCATAAGGGTATTTTTATAGTAATTTAGTATGTAGCAGCCGCTCCAGTTCTCCTTTTCTCCGGCTCCGTTTTGTCGGTCGATGGCCGCGAAAATCGTTGCCAGGCCGCTGACACACAACCACCCCCGCCGATTATAACTGGGCCCCCCTCCTGTCCAGCTGCAGTGACCCCCGGCTGCCCCCAAAAACAATTATCACCTCATGCGCGTCGGACGACCTGGCTTGATACCCCTGAGCCCCTGTAATTATGCTTCCCCTAATCCTCCCCTAATCCGTCCAATCTCATGACCAGCATCCAACCCGTCCCCCCCCACCTACTGACACAGACTTTCACTCCCGCGTAAACTACACACCGTGACTGACGCTCTCCGTGAACGGACGCTTTTCTCTGTTGCAAGCAAATCGCCAGCTTACGGCAACCTGCCCTGTGTACAGAATAAACTAGTCCTCACAGCTCCCTGACTTCTGACAGTAGACGAAACGAACTTATTGTGCGTGGTTTAAGTTGATCTCACATCCTTGACCGCAACAAGTAAGCTGCCGTGCTTCGGTCTTTTGCGCATCGCGACTAGAAGCTCGTTTGACTGTTCGTGCTGAGGAAACTAAGACCTCGATCCGAGGTTTACTACATTCAATCTCTTCTCTTTCCTTATGCAAGCTGCAAAAGCTAGGCGAATGAACCAGAGGTAAGATTGTGCAGTGGCTGGATTTTTTCATGAAATCGACATCTAATGTATTCTCTTATCGGCTGATAGACTCTAGACTCAGGTCTCTTAACGCATCACGAAAGTTTTCGAACACGTTGGGCTTATTTTGTTGCGCAATCAGCCTACTTGCGAAGAAAAACGCTGTCAGAGTATTGGCCTCGGTTTCCACCCCGCCTTTAATGCGTAACGTCCTGTTCTACGCGATATGTCGACCGGTGACGATATTGAGCTTATTTACGTACGTGCCATAAAGCCTTTGTCTATCGTGTACCATACGCAATGGTTCGACTGTCATAAACCACAGACCATTAACTGTTTCAGCGTTTTGCCATACATACCCTCACGGTGAATGGATGGACGATCGTTACGACGTAGGCGAAACTCGTAGATTTTTTGAACATAGGAGGAATGAGTAACTTTTTGGTTTCGAATGTGACCGGATTGGTCCGTAGCGGGATTAAGTAGACGGATACAGCAAGAACTGGAAGGTCGTGCGTGACAGTTGTCGCCTAAGGTTTCAAGCCCTGATCCTTCAGGGCAGTTGCAATAGATTCCCACATGCCTGATCAGGCCGAATCATTATGTGATCGTGCGATTACAATGACGTCAAGTCGGCCTAATGGGCCGACAGTGAGTTTGAGGCCCCAAAATTTCACTGACCAGGACGGAGTCCTGATGAGAGTGGGCGGCAAGTGGAACAGGGCGGTTTGGAACGTGCATCCAGGCTGACCCGATCATTTATCCGAGTGATTGGTTAGAGAGTGTTGTGGGCAGCCATAATGGCAACGTCACGCCTCTCGCTAGCGGCTGCACCTACGCCCTAGCGACAGCCTGCTATGGCAAGCAAGTCTGCCTGGTGTCAATTTCTCTCGTTGCAATTCACTGTCTGCACCAGGCATCTGGTGGATTCTCTGCCTGCACCATGCGTAGCCTGCCTCTACCCTTGCGTGAGCTCGGAGCCAACCAATGCAACTCCTCTCGCTGATTGTTTGCACAGGCGGACACAGTCTAGACCACTGCGTAAACAATCTGTAACGACACTTTGCGGCGGCGACCTTCGGCGACACACGGCTCCTCGCTCTCGCGGACGTCGCCTCCGCGGCTCCGGACGCACCCTCGTCCGATTGCCAACTTTCTCCTATCCTTCTGTACAGAATAAAATATTCTATCCAACAGGTGTCCCGCTTCTAACAACTTGGGATGTGGCCTGAAGTTGTGGCGCACTGAGCATAGACCATTACAGCCTTGCCGCTAAAAGAGGAGACCGCTGTTCGTGATGAACACAATGCACACACATAGAACACTTGAATTTCTAAAAAGAGATCGAAACGGGCGTACCCGCCCTTGCAAAGAAAAATGAAAACAGACAGGGCAGTTTGGAGATGGTCTCCAAAATGCCCGTTAGTCCTTTCTCGAAGTCACGGAGACAGGTGCCCAGGAACGATGAGGGAAATAAAAGGTTTATCGTGTCTGCGTTAAGATAAAGACACAGCTTTCTCTCGAAAGTAGATAGGCTGCTCGACAGTCTAATCTTGATTGGCAGATTATTCAAAAGAATAACATAGGTTGGAGAAAAGCAGGGAGAGCGCTTAGTGGTGGAGGAGGCGTGTGGAGGTATGGCTACGGTGATTCGACAAGAGGGATACATGAGCAGTGATCCGAAGCAAAAGGTGTTGATTCCTGATATTCCAGTTCTGTAGGCTCGTCATTTAATTTTGGTTGTCAACAATTATATGATTTTGAATTTGGCTGCCCAACTTTCGCATCCATTTGTTATGTCCGCCAGTCGTTTACAAGCAACATCTAAGACTCTGTAGCTGCATCTCAGGTTCTTTAGCGGAATCTATCTTGTGTATTTAAGGCACAATTTTTGTCGTTACCGGGCAACATAGCAGCAAACTAAAAAAATTCTATTTAGCATTGCAACTCCGTCACCTTCACAAAATGGTGGCTTTATCGAACTCGAATCTGCCTCATCATGACATATGTAGCATATCAGTCGAATTGAGGACCTGGCGTTCCAGGCCCGTTCCTGTCACAATGAATTTAATATAACTCAAAGACAGTTTTGAAAAAATCAGTTGAACTTTCCAGTTGGCTTTGTCAAATTTCTAAGATGCCAACATCGAAGAGGAGCGGTGTCTTGACGACAACCCAGCACACCCTGACTATCGTGCTGCAGGGGGTACGGTGGCAATTAAAAACTGAGCGCTTAAGGCAACTTTAAAAATGACTGATTACTTGTCAGGACCGGGGTTGTAATTTCGTTGCGGGAATCGGCAATCTGTGAGATTCTGCTACTTTAGAAAAACAGTACGTCTGCCGCCCAAAACAGGTACCCTTGGCGGTTACTCTGAGTCCAGTGCTCTAGATGTCTGGCGCCAGATGGACACAGACGTCTCCATATGCGTGCGGGTTGTCTGTCCGAAATGTACCCTTCCGGAATCGAAGGGGTTCATATTACACCGCAAGTCAGCACAGCTTTCCTATCTTTAGTTGTTAGCAAAGAGAGGTAAAATTATCCGGGTCTTAAAAGTATTTGTGCTGGCCTGCTAACGGCAGGTCTGGAATACCTTCTTTTGATTCAAATGGGTCGTATCAATTCCCGATCAACCGTCATGGTAGACGTTGGCTAGTATTTTTGAGAAAGTGGGCTAAAAGTGTTGAGGTCAATACAGAGCCTGCTGCATCCATCTTGTCGCGTCAGACGTTGATTCATAGCTCGTGACATGTCCCACCATACTGCTATGAAGCTGCCTGGACACAAACAGGAGCCTTTCGGGCATCAAAACTCTGTCGTTTCTTTCCAGCTACGTCTTGATTCAGGTGTCAGAGGTCTTGATGAGACCATTAACCCGACGCTATGAAATTTTAATTCCTTGATATACTCGCTGCAGTCGTCAGACCGCAAATATCACATCCCTGACTCCAGGCTTCTTGGGCAATTCTTGCCGACTTTCATCTAGAAGTCCTTGTTGGAAGCGGGAGGTCATGCAACTTTGTGAAACTCGGGCGAAGATTTAGCGAGTCAAGTTAGGTACGTAGGTGTTTCCGTAGGCGTTACTGGTTACTTTGGGTTTATTTAGT